GGAAGGAGCCTGGACTTGGCCCCTGGGCACTAGCTCCACGAGTCAGGGACCCTTCTGCCTGTGTAGAGAGGCGTCCCCAACAGCAGCCCGGGGCCGGGGGTGGAGGAGACACTCAGCAAACCCCTGGTGGGGGGCGGAGGATGACGGAGCCAGATCCTGGGCTCACCAGCAGGTGAGGGGCAAGTAAGAGAGCTGGCAGTGACATCACATGGGGAACGGAGGAGGGAACGGAGCTGGCCATGGAACACAGTCTCATAAAACGGGGAAGGACCACCCGCCTCAGTCCTCGGGCCCATGTGTGAGACCCGCGCCCAGCCCAACGGAGCGACGTTCCCCCAAAGCAACTGGCCCCCCGTCCACGAAGACATCAGAATCATGCCAGCTAAGGACAGCAGGTGACCCTGGACTGGACACTGGAGCACGAGAAAATTATCTGTTTGTTTACGTACTGAAACGACATTACAAGTGTGAAATCTGAATGAAGCCTGCAGATTAGATAAAGAGTGAAAGAGTGTGTAACAGTGTGAAGCGCCTGGTTTCGAGTTTGTCTGTGGCTGTGTGAGAGGCTCGTCCTGCTCTTAGGAAACGCACACCGGGTATTTGGGTAAAGGGGCATCGGGTCTGCAACTTGCTCTCAAGTGGATCAGAAAAGAGAGAGAGAGAAGAGAATGATAAGGCAAACTCAGTAAAATGTTAACAGTTGGAGAATCTGGGTGAAGGAGTTCTTGTATTATTTCTGTAGGACAGAAATTATTTCTGTTACAAACAGAAAGGCAGCATCCTGAAAAGAAAAAGCCAGGGGGGGCCCCTTTCAACTCAAGGAGACTAAACGGACTCAGCAGGAATTGCAATGCATCCCGAATCAGCGGAAAAACCAGCCACCAGTGACTTTAGTGGGACGGCTGGGGAAATGCGCCCACGGAGAGTGTACTGCATGCCAGCCCTGCACCCATGTTTTCTGGGTGTCATGGTCACGTGAGTTCTTGCAGGAGAACATAATGAACCTGCTCTTGAGGTGCACACTGGATTTGGGGCAAAGGGGCAGGACGTCTGCAATGGGCTCTCACGTGGTTCAGCAAAAATACATATAGGAAAGAAAGAGTGCAAGCCATGCGCCCTAAACGGGTGGGGGTGGGGTGTGCACAGGGTTCACGCCATTTTTCTCTAAGACACAGACCTGCTTGCCCCTACAGCCAAGGGTAGTGAAGGGGCCTGGGGTGGGGGAGAGGGCTGCAGGGGGCGGGGCGGGCGCGAGGCCGTGGCGGAGGGG